GAATGTGTTAAATAACTCATAATGCAGTCTGAAAATTATCTGGTGCCCAAACCAGATCTCCTTTCCACACTGGAGTCCACCTAGATATTAGAATTTTATGTTGAGAGATGTACTTGGATAGCGAACATGGTTTTAAAACACATGTTTTTAAAATATGGTTTATATGAAGTGTAAGAAAAAATATAACAGGCTATTTAACAAAATATTTTCGAGCCGGGCATGGTGGTGCACGCCTGTAATCTCAGCACTCGGGAGGCTGAGGCAGGAGGATTGTTGCAAGTCTGAGACCATCCTGGACTACCAAGTGAGCTCAAGGCCAGCCTGAACTGCACAGCAAGACACCGTCTCAAAAAGACAAACAAACAAACAAACAAACAAAAAACACACTTTTTCACAGTGAGAAAAGTTAGAACTGTGTGTCTATCATATAAAGAGGGGAAAAAGAATTGAATGAAAAAATTTAAGAGGACCAGTTACCGGGTCATTTATCCCCGACTCACTGACAGGGATTTATCCACGCAACCTCTCCTGTCTAGCAGTCTGGGAGTAGCCGAGGCTGGCACGCTTTAATTAAGGTGTACTTCTCACCCTGTAGGAACTCCAGTCAGAGTGAAGCTGTAGAAGACAGTGTAAGTAATGAGAGGGCACAGAGGGAAAAAGAGTCGCAAAAGACGTGACATTTTTGAACAGGGTTTAGGGGATATACAGAAGTAACAACAAGGGCCGGGGGTACAGCTCAGTGGCACAAGCGCCTGCCTGGCAAGCGCAAGGTCCTGACTTCTGTTCTCAGTACCAAAAAACAAAACAAAACAAAACAAAAGTAACAACAGCTGTGGTGCTTTTTTAGAGAGAAACTCCTCATGAAATAATAATCTGTGAGCAGATGAGCACATAGCCGGGTAGGGAGAAAACAGATGCGGAAGGGCTCGGGTAGAGTCAAGGACCTGACAGGCTACATGTGCCTTGCCTTTGGCAGGTGTGGACGCCCAGTGAAACCATGGCCATCGGTTCCGACGTGGGGTGCCGGTGCTGGGGGAGGGGCTCCTCCGCAGAGGGCGTCAGGACCAGCCACCCTTGGATGATAATGGAGAGTGAGCGAAGCTCTGGTGGCGAAGCGGGAGATGGCTCGCAAAACGAGGCCGAGAGGAGAAAACGCAGCAGCATCGCGGGTGGGAGGGCGGCTGGCGTACCCGGCCCTGCGGGGCAGCGGACGGAACTCTTGGTAGCCCCTATGAGAAAGCTGTGTCCATTCACCTTGCAGTGGTTCTCAGCAGATTTTAAGGCAGGAAGCGATGCGAAGCCGGGCGTGGTGGGGCACGCCTATAACACCAGCATTCGGGAGGCTGAGGCAGGAGGATCGTTGGGAGCTCGAGGCCAGCCTGGGCTACAAAGTGAGCTCGAGGCCAGCCTGAACTGCATAGCAAGACCCTGCCTCAAAAACAAACAAACAAACAAACATAAAAGAAGTGATGAGACCCGAGTGACGTTTTCGCCTGCTACGTGGAGAATGGATTTACGGGTGCCTTGTCACCAGTGCAGACTGGTGAGGGTCACTGAGATTCGAGCCGTCTCAGGAAGAGACAGACCTCGGGGTCGTGGAAACGTCTGGACACGCCTTTGCGCTCGGCAGCCCCTCGCTGGACACCCAGGGCCCTGGGCTCCCCGTTCTGAAGCAGGGCTGCGCCCCTTAGTCTCCCAGCCCGCGCGGCAGTCCACGTTCACACAGAAGTACACAACAGCGGCCGTGCGCCAGGCACAGCCTCGGCGACAGGAGGGACTTACGCCAGCCGTACAGACGCTGGTTCCACCAGCTGTTTACACGGAGACCGGCGAGGTGTGCAGGCTCCGAAGCCTTGCCCCGTGGACTTCATTCCCCCGGAAATCATACCCGCGACAGCCCGAACCAAAGTGTAGATACCTCAGGCGTCCTTTCCCCTACACGGGGGAAGAATGCACGCGGAGCGTCCTGGTAAAAGTCATGGCTGAGATTGTTCTCAAAGGAACGGCGTCAGGAAGCAGGTTCCAGACGCGGAGGTTAAAATGGCAAGGCTTGCCCAGAGGCTGTATGTGGGAACAGGGGCCAGGGGTATCCCAGGGGCTTCAATTCTAAACCACCACGCAGAGCGCAGTGACGCTAAACGGGGACGACAGACACTTCTACAGAAAGAAGCTTCGGAGTGCGGGGGTCAGGAATCAACAGTTCTTCCGCGGTCAAACAAGAATGAAATGTTTAAAAACTTGTAAGTAATGCAGGCAACTGGATACAGTCTAGAACTTAAGAGACAGGTTTGGCCGGAGGAATTCCGGAGGCCGCATGCGCCTCGCTTCGGTTTGCATCTGGATGGCCTCCAGGGTGGGGCCGCGGCCAGCGTGAGAGCACAGGGCACCACAGCTGGCGCGGTGTGGGGAGGGGGCTCTGGTGGGAAGAGCCGGGGCCCTGGGGGTGATGTGGAAGGGAACAGCTTTCTCCCGGCTGGGCATCTCTGCTGTCTGCTCCCTGGATGCCGAAAGGTGAGCAGCCTCCTCCCTCCGTCAGCATTCCTTCCACCACCACTTCCCCCTGGGCCGGCTGACTACGCAAGGAATGAATTTAACCCGGAGCCCGCTGACCGTGCAAAGGCTGCAACTTCTCACACATGAACCAAAATAATCCTCTCCTCCTGTACGTTGTGGGGATCGGTATTTGCTTCTGGCCATGAGGAAAGTACCTAAGACCAGCCTCCCCAGGGAATTTAAAGCCAGGAGACTGGTAAGACTTGCCTTGACTGCATCAAGGTATGGGGGTACAAGCCGGGCGTGGGGGCGCACGCCTGTAATCCCAGCACTCGGGAGGCTGAGGCAGGAGGATCGTTCCAAGTTCGAGACCAGCCTGGGCTACAAAGAGAGCTCAAGGGCAGCCTGAGCTGCATAGCAAGACCCTGTCTCAAAAAGACAAAAAAAAAAAGAAAAAGAAAAAAAGGTATGTGGGTACAGAGTGGTCAGCAATGTTTTGATTTTTGTGTTTTTAAGAGAGAAGAATAATAAATTCCCCTTTAGATGTGTATGGTAAAAATAAATGATTATTTGGATTTTCTGTGGCAAAACATATACTGCCTCTAGAAGCATTTTGTTATTATCTTCTTGCTGTGTGATTCAAACTCGGGGTGCCCTGCACAGGGTCTGTTTCTTCTTTGCTGCATCAGTGAGCCCTGCAATGGCAGACACTGTCCTCCCAAGCCAGAAGCTACCCAGAGAGCACTTCTGAATTTGGAATTCTTTTTATCAGTCAATCAACCTTGAAAAAATAATTGAGGTCTGCAGACACGTTCCGTGAGTCACACAAATGCCATGGTCTGGACTCCTCCCCCAGTTGCAAATGTTGAAACCAAATCCTCAGGATGGGAGCAGTAGGAGGTGTGGCCTTCGGGCTGTGACTACTCAGAAATATGGAATTCCACCAGTGGAATTAGTCCCCTCAGAAGGGACTAGAGAGACAGCACATCTTCCCCACGGGGACCCAAGCAGAAGGAGAAAACCAAAAAGCAAGCCCTTCCCAGATACCAGATTTGCCAGCACCTTGATCTTAGAGAAATAAATTGTTTATGTCACCAGATATTTGGCACTTTGGAACAGCAGCCTGAAGACACCAAGCAATTAAACACAAGTAATCAGGGATGAGCACTGAACCTAGCGTTTACTTCCAAAGTATATCAACCTTTATTTCCATCAAAGAGGCCACTCGTGGTTGGCACGCCCTGAACGTTTGAATAAAGGAAAGAGACCAAGTTGTGTCAATACAGGCCAGGCATTTCTCTTTCTTCTTCGATCTGTTTCTCTCATCGCTACCTACTCAGTCCTTGCACAGGGCCTTTAGTATAGTCAATGCTTAACAAATATTTGTTGTATACATGAATAACAGAACGAAGGCAGTTTTACAGAAAAGTGATTCTTTTCTTCATCTTTATGAATTTACTTTATATATCATGTCTTTAAGTTTCTTTCTTAGTTGTACGACATTTGCTCGCTGTGAAAAATACAAATATAAAAGAAAAAATCTTAAATATTACTGCTACTTGTATGTAACTTGTGGTAGTAATTATCCATTTAACAGATCTTCTGGACAGCCTACTTTGGCTAGGCACTGGGGACACCACGGTGAATCAAACTGGCTAGGCACCTAATTTATCCGCTCATGCTACAAGTATACAAGTAGAGTATAAACAGACGTGTACTACCCATACAAAGTTTCAAAATTCACAGATATCTTTCTACCAGTAAGGCTTAATACACCTTAAAAGTGATTATTTCAGTGATTAAATAATGTTAATATATTTCTATGTAACATGTAACAGTCTCCTAACTACATTTTCTTTTCTTGCCTTTTTTTTTTTTTTTGAGATAGGGTCTTACTATGTAGCTCAGGCCTGCAACTCCAGGGATCCTCTTGCCTCAGTCTCCCTAGCACTGGGATTAGAGTCCTGCACTACCATGTCCAGCTCACCTAATTACATTTTCAAGTGGCCTCAAGGAGAAAATATAGCTTTCTTAGGTAAAAGGAACAAAGACCCTCTCCTTTCTACAGTGCATTATCCAAGAGTATACTCTGATGCTAGAAATAGCAAAGCAATATAGTTCTGAATAGGTTATCTTCAAGTCTTTTCCATGGTTTCATGTATTGTCTATTTAAGATTACAAAATAATCACTCAATTAAAAGTAACTCTGATGCTTAAACTTGAGGCTCTACTCCTAAAGGGGGTCTATTCCTTTTTTTTCTTTTTTTCTTTTTTTTATTTAATTTTTAGCAGAAGTTTCCATTTCCAGTGCTAGGAAAATCTTAGCACTTAGGAAGTCACTCCTCCCTACACTGGGATCTACTGACTCCGAGCAGATCACCTGTTTCTTGGTTCTAGGCACTTGTCTTTACACCTGGGACTGAAGGTACTATCTATCCTCAGAGTATGTAACCCTGGTGCCTAATTCTGCTTCACCCCAATCGGACTCTTACCTGGATTTAACTTACCTCCAGAGGTTGGCTGTCTTCTGCTTCCGAAGTTTTATCTCCTGGCTCATTTGGTTTATCGCCTGCAAAGCAAAAATGACAGAAACTCAAGCACGCCATGAAGACTGAATTCTCTTTTATTGTTTTGAACCATTTTTGTTACTATATGTTCATAACATGAAAATCACCATTATTTCCTTTGTTACAAAGCAGACAGGTTTTTAAGAATAGTAACCTTCTACAGCTCTCATAAAACATCCATAAACACAGGACCTACACCAGAAATGTATCCTACTTTATACAGGCTTACTCAAGGAAAATTGAATGAATTCATATTTTTAGATCAAGTCAATTTCAAATAAATTAAGAAAGCTTATGGCTTAAAGAGAAGAAGGCAAATTATTTTACAATACAAATTCTTTATGATATGACTGATAGTCCTCTGAATTCGTTTTTCATATGGCTTATTCTTTTGAAGTATTTATATATCACTAGATTTGCCTCAGAGTAGACATGTACTGTATATTCTATGTAATAATTAACCAAATGCCACATGATCCTTACTGTAGGAAAGAACTAGACAGATGCATAAATTCACCTTCAGTTAATTCTCTGATTCCTGAAGCTGGTGCATTAGTCACCAACTTGTGACTAAAGCTGACTTCAAAGGCATAAGACAGATACAAACATAATTGGGCAAGTATAAGCATAATTAACTTATTAATGGCCTACTTTATTAATCATCACGAATGGCTGGTGATTAACACATGACAGATAGACAGCCTATTAGTCCACCTCTCTGAAACATAAGCAGAGGCTAATTTAGCAACACGTAAATTGCTCTTCCCACAAAATTGAGCCAGCTCAGAAATGTCCACAGCAGGCAAGGGTACCACACTGACACATGATGGTCCGGCTGATGTCAACAGTTAGGAGTCTGTGACTGTAAGGAAGGTCACAAGTCTACCTTCGAGTAGGAAAACCTTTGCTGAACTTAACTTTTCCATATGAAAGACAAAGGATCCAGACTTGCCACGCGTATTTCAGTCTGTCCGCTTCGTTGGGAGTTACAGGCCACATTAGCATGGTCAGGCACAGCCCAGCATATAGTAAGTGTTCAATAAGTATTAGGTGAACAAACTGGTAAGCTTCTCTTTGTAGGTTCTCACCTACAAATGTGTGACTAAAAAGTTAATGGTATTTCATAAAAACTGTACTTCAGGATACATTAATGCCTTCCTTCTACAACCTATCTGTGAAAGTTTATTTAGCAAATTTATCAAACACCACTTTGATAGATGGTTCCTAGTCATCCGTGATCGTGGGACAATTTATTGAATGTTAAAATGTTAATTTTTTTCAAAAATCATACTGAAGGAAAACCACTGGCAACTTTGCGATTATGTCTACAAATTTAATTGTTAGTAAGTGAAAAATGAAATTAACCTACTCTTGTGATCCAGGATGTCAAACAACTATTTTGATTGATTTTAAGTGACTTAGATTGACCACTTATTGGCACATCTAGAAGAGCTTTTTTTTTTTTTTTTTTTTCAAAGAGATCCCCTTTTCTTTGAAAGTTAGGGATATAATAACCCCTAGTTTATAGGTCAAGAAACCAGAGTACAAGCAGTTTCCTTTGCTTAGCTACAGGCCACATGGACAGCTAAGGTAAAGCAAATCTCTACAGTGACGTCAGCGCTGTGTTTAACAATGCACATACCTCACCACACCCCGCATATCCCCGGTGTGTGTGCATAACCCATGACAAATCATTCTAGACAGATAACTCATCGTCTAAAATGATCAGTATGCTACCCATATAACTACACAAACGCAGTGTTTGGCTAAAATCATCCAGCACAGAATCTACACTTCGGCATTTTCTAATTTCAAGGTGTGCTTCTACACAATATTTTCCCATTTCTCCTGACTGCGTCAAAAATCAGAACGGTTATCTGCCATTGTTCCCGATGTCCCACACCACGTCCACCTGGAAGCGACTACAGAAACACTGCTTATGAAATGCTGTGTCTATGTCTATGACTCAAGACAATGACTACAAGGAAATTCCATCTGCAAGATTATTCTCCAAAAACAACAGCACAAAATGAAAGCTAAACAAATGACATCATAAGATTACAATGAAATATAATTTTTGAGTTTTTTCTACTGAATTACTTTTCAAGCTAAAATTCAGTTATTTTTTTCTCAACTTTTATAAAATATTTATTCTCTTAAATCCAATGCATTCACAAGGTGTCCACATTTTAAAGTTTATCATTTCCATGAACTGTAGCATTATCTTTTTCTTTTTCTTTTTTTTTTTTTTCTGGTTTTTAGAGACAGGGTCTTGCTATAGTTCAGGCTTGCTTTGAACTCACTACACAGCCCAGGCTGGGCTTGGCCTCATGGCAATCCTCCTGCCTCAGCCTCCGAGTGCTGGGATTACAGGCATATACCACCACCTGGCTTGTAGCACTATACAAGTAATCCAAAATTACTTTTATTGTATGTGTAGCCAGTGACTATTCTTTTTTTTCAAGGATTTAATATCCAAAATTTTAACACAGGTAATTTTATTGTATGTTTCATCTAGCAGATGATTTTAAAAAATAGTGTGTGGAAATGAATAGTTTCAAACTATGTAAATATATTATGCCTTGTTATCAATGCATTAAATCAAAAGCAACTGCCAAGCTGAGTAAGTTACAAAAAAGTAATAATTCTGGTTTGAACAGAAATGTACAGTGTTTTCAAAGGTCTTAACAATTACCTACTACTAATCCAAATCTCCAAAATGTAACTTAGAGTTGGAAGATGAGTTTTATAGTAATTTTAAGCTCTTTTTGTATTCATTTTATTTTATTTTTGGTTTTTTTGAGACAGGGTGTCACTATGCAGCTCAGGTTGGCCTTGAACTCACTTTGTAGCCCAGGCTGGCCTCGAACTCACAGTGATCTTCCTGCCTCAGCCTCTGGAGTGCTGGGATTATAGGCTTGTACCACCATACCTGCTCTATATTCATTTTAATATATTACTTAGATGTTTATATCTACATCACAATGGTACTTTCCAGGGTTCATAACTTCAGTTTCAATTTGTACATCTGTAAGTTACTAACCTAAGGGATAGTTCTATAACAAACTATTCCTTAAAAAAATGAAATCACACCCTACCCAGAACTCTGAACATGGCATGACATAAAACCAATTAATGCATCATGAGTTTTAATATTTTAATCATTTTCTAAATACTAGCATGTAAACTTGTCTACGTAATAAATGACAACTACAGCTTTACTCACTGAGAAATTACATATTAATTTCCTTCAGTCCTCTTTCCCACCTTATCATAAACTCTCTGACGGGCTCTTTCTGAGTCAGTGAATTTCAAACATTTTTTTGAGAAAGGGACTGAAGGAAGGAAATGAACTGTGAACAGAAAAAGTTCTCAAATTCATCCTTTAAAATCTTTTCCCTTCAATACGACTTAAACTTTAAAAAGTCAGTTACAAATTACTAAAGGGGTAGTTGGACCTACCAATCTGTGACCTAAACATCTAAGTATGAGAACAGGAGAATAAAATACTTCAACATTCAATTCTGCAGTTCAGGACAATTATCTGATGTGACTAGACTGGTTAAAGCAGTCAGAAACATACAACTCAGGAGGTAGTTGGCTATTTTGCTTTTGGGGACGGGCAGTCAAAAACCAAAATGACAAATGAAGTAACAAAAAATTCTGTATTCCATTTTAGCGGGGAGTTACAGGATAGTTTAAACCTCTGAAACCCTTGTGACCTGTTCAGATTGAAGGTGACACTTTAATTTTTTTAATAACCCCATCTTTCCTTGAGAATCAAACTGACTGGTCATCACACCTGCAAGGACCACCAGTGCTGGAACAGCTTGATGAATGGAATACTAGCAAGGTCAAAATGACAAATTAAATTTCAAACTAGAAAAAACCTACTCAAGTATTCCATTCAGTTTTCAAATCATTTACCCCCATGATGACAGATTTGGATGAAATCCCTCTTGCACGCGCTCCCCGCCAACAGCAGACATCCCAGCCAGCCATCGGCCCGGGGACACAAGGCCATGTAGTCAGAGATGGCATGCTCGAAGCCAAACTTCAAAGAGATTTTAAAAAATAGGTTCTAATTTTTATAGAAATGCTGCTTTGAAAACTACTTTCTCTCATTCCCTCCTCTCCTGTACTGAAGGATGTATAAAGTTCCCCCTGCCAAGCTAAATCTGAACCCTCAAAATGGATGCCAGGCAGAAAATCTCTGCAAATTAAAATAAAAAACAAAAATAGAAAAATTATATATATAATATAGAGTACATAGTATTCTAGTATGTATTACATACATAATCTATTGTTTTATATATTGTATTATGATATATTATAATGTAATATATAATTATATTATATAAATTATAATATATTGGATATAAATATATTTAAAAATCACTTTAGAAATGAATTTTGGGATTGATCCTATTCCTCACAACTCTAAAATCCATAATGACTTAAGGACATACTTTCCATATCACTCCTAGCTCCTCCCGCCGTTCCCAAACCATCCACATCGCCATGGCCCAAGCGTAATGAGAAGACAGAAAAATTCTGAGTAGCTTTCTCTCTGTTTTTGCCTTGGTGCCCCGGGTGGCGCACACTGTACTTTGGCGTTATAGCGAGTCACTCCCTGAGGCACAGGCCCGCGGCTGAACTGCGGTCTCCATTCCCCGCTGGTTCCTGTTGCTCCCCTGGGAATGGTACTGCCCTGAAGCTGGAGTCATCCTTACTGGTCCTCACTTCTGGCTTCCCATGTGGTTTCTCAATGCACTTCACAGGAACTCCCTTCTCTGGAGTTTTCGTGGGAGATACTGCACTTGAGCGAGGTTCTCACAGTGACTGCGCAAGAACTAGCGATGGCTCATTACGGGGCCCCTGGCATACTTCAGCACAGCTTAATTTTCAGGGGTCCGTCAGGCAGGGACACAGGTGTGGATACACTTACGTTACTAGTACATGGTAAAGCTGTGTTTGCTCTCGACAGCTCTGCAGTACTGGG